TTGTTGACCATGAGAAAATACACAGAATGTGAATGTGGAGATGACTGATCAGTAAAGTACTAAAAAGTTGCTTTACTTAGTAAGCTTAAAATGACTTTAAAAATTAGTTCAGCATTAAAACTCTCACTGGATACATTGATATTTTACAGCCAGAATTTATGTAGAAAAGATGACTGACTTAATTTTGTATCACACACACCACATATATGCACTGCTGTTTGTGAAGGACACTTATGAGAGATTATTTTTTAAACTTGACTTAACCTACCTAAATACATAGTCCTGACAAATTTGAACAAATAAGTGAAGCTTTTCATTTTCGATCTGTTGAGGTAAACATTTTCAGAATGCTTGTAGAGCACTATATTTTCCAGGTGCTTTACATATCGTTAAGTTTTTATTATAGTTCAAAAAAACATGCGATAGAAACTGTTTGCTTAGTTACTTCAAAACATCTCAAATTAACTTTCCATTTTAAGATATTAAACTAGGGGAAGTGGGTCCAAGGTAATTAAATGCTGTATGTCCTGACTTCTCTCAAAAGTCTGTGTTCTCCAAATTGCAAGGGACAGACAGGCTATTCATAAAATGGAAATTGGGTCATACCCTAGCATAGAATTTCTTACCACTTGTTTTTGTTGAATAATTCTTTGTTGTGGAGGTTCATCCTATGCATTAAAGGATGTTTAGCAGCATCCCTGGGTTCTACCCACTAAATACCATTGGTACCTATCCTCCCCTGCCATCACAGTCACAATGTCTGCAGATGCCGAACGTGTGCTGGTGGCCCAAGGTGCTCCCACTGAGAACCACTGGTCCACAACATTGTGCGTATTGGGTGAAGGGGATGGGAGGTTAACAGAAAGGTTAATATTTGCGTTAAGTGGAATTAGGGCATGGAATATGTGTATGTTAATGTTTAAACTGTATCTTGGACTAATGAACTTTTTAAAACTCTTGAACAGATTTCTCAAATTTGAGACCTTAAGATTTATTATCCTTGAATGCCATGTAATAATAATGAAAAAGATAAAAATGTGTTTCTTACCAGCTAAATGTTTTATAAGTTCAATAGAAGAATCTATTTCTGCTTAACTCTGGACAGTTAATTCATTATTTCAGGGAAGATTGTCATAAGTAGTAATTTCACTGAAAAAGTAAGTATATTTTAAAAATGACATTTGTCTAGTTTGTTAAAATTTTAATACAATAATAGGTTAACCTGTCTGTGCTATCTTAAACATAAATGCTATATAGCTTCAAGATATATTCATAACATTATTTCTAGTTAAGTCTTCTTTTCTAGGAAGTTTTAGGCTGAAAGCCACACATAAGTACTCAGCTACAGTGGCTAGTGGCTGCAGTACTGGACAATGGGGCCTTACACTAGCACTGAGCACTTTGTAAATGCTCAGCAAATGTTAGATATTCCACTGGTACCTTTACTAGCATGACTATTCTTTGACCTGATGAACTCCTTAGAACTCAAACATCTTTTTAAAGCCAGTGGAGACCATAAACAATTCATGAAGGGGCCAGAGGTGGTTTTTTTAAGTTCATTTTGTCCCCAAAGCTTTAGTACCAAGAAAAAAAGCAATAAAATATTGTAGATGGAAAGAGACCAACCTGCTGATCTCAGCCTCTTATCTTGTTCCATGTAGCCCACTGATAACACCAGGCTTGCTCCCACCTAGGTTTTCTCTTCCTTCGAACTAAAATTCCTAGGAAATTCTTTTTCCAGAGAGGAAATCCATAACTCACTCAGTTTTTTGAGACTGCTCAATATTAACCACTTCAGTAATGCCTACTTTGACTATTACGTGATATGACCCAATTCTGAACTTCAACCTCCTTTCCTGCTGTTTTTCTATTACTTGCCCTGGCTGGTATAGCTCAGTGGATTGAGCGTGGGCCTGCGAACCAGAGCATCGGGGGTTTGATTCCCAGTCAGGGCACATGCCTAGGTTGCAGGCCATTTCCCAGCAGGGGACACACAAGAGGCAACCATACATTGATATTTCTCTCCCTCTCTCCATCCCTTCCCCTCTAAAAAATAAAAATGAATAAAATCTTTAAAAAAAAAAAGACTTTAAATATAAGGCCTGAAACAATAAATCACACAGAAAACATAGAATCTCAGCCTTAGAGAAGATTTTATGAATTTGACCTCAAAGGGAAGGGAGTTAAAAGCAAAAATAAATGGGACTGTATCTAAACAAAACTGTAAGTCCTATACACAGCAACAGACACCACCAACAAAACAAAAAGGCAACCAACCATGTAGGAGCAGGTATTTGTAGACTACACTCCTGATAAGGGGTTAATATCCAAAAATATGTAAGGAATTCATACAACTCAACAACAAAAAACAATCAAATTGAAAAATGGGCAGAGAATCTAAACAAACACCTCTCCCAAGAAGACTTACAAATGGCCAACACATGTATGGAAATATGCTGAACTTCACTAGCTATTATGAAATACAAAACTACAGTGTGATACCACCTGACACCTGTTAGAATGACTGTTATGAACAATAAATGCTGGAAAGGTTGTGGAGAAAAAGGAACCATCATTCACTGGTGTTGGGAATGTAACCTGATACAACCACTATGGAACACAGTGATGAAATTCCTCCGAGAGTTACCATGATTTTCTTCTGGGTAACTGTCCAAAAAATTTGAAAACATCTATTCACAAAGGTATGTGCACCCCTATGGTCATTGTAGCATTATTCATGGTAGCCAAGACATAGAAACAATGAAGTGCCCTTCAATAAGATGACCGGACAAGGAAGATGTGGTACATATATACTATGGAACACTACTCAGCCAGATGAAATACTACTATTTGTAACAACATGGATGGATCTTAAAATATCATACTAAGCAAAGTAAGTCAGATAGAAAAATCAGAACCATATTTCACTCATCTGTGAAATATAAAACTGAAAGCAACAAATGAACAAACAAGCAAAAAGAACAAAAACTCAGACACAGATTAACAGTATGGTAATCACCAAAAGGAGAGGCGAGTGGAAGTAGTAAATGGGGCCAAACACATGGTAATGAAATGTTTTGACTGTGGGTGGTAAACATACAATAAAATATACAGGTGATTTTTGTAGAACTGCACACTTGAAACCTATATAATTTTAACCCATGTCACCCCAATGAATTTTTTTAAAAGACAGCTGTTTTAAATTATCTGAAAGGGACCATTTGGGGGGGGGGCCATACTTTTCAATTTATTTGTATGCCTCATTTTGTTGCTGTGAAAACTGGACATTTGATTTGTATGATGTGCTGATCAGGTTTTCTCTTCGCCTGGGTGGCTCGATGTTTTTTTCTTGATTGTTGTGCTGGCTTGGGATAAAAACTTACGGCCTTCTCAGTTGTCTTCTGTGGCAGACTCTGGCCAGCAGAGTCCACCTGTTGTGACTGAAGATAAGAATAAATGCACAGGCTACAGCAATCCTGTGGAGTAAAAGGGGACTGCACAGCCACTCTCTCGAGGAGAGACCTTTGCCTAGACAAGCTTTTATTGTTCTTCTCAGGTTTTACCTCAAAGGATTTATTATCTATTACATAGAATATTATTGTCTACATGTTAGGTACAATCAAGGAAATGAAAATAACACATGCAGAAGGGAAAGGTGGCGAGCTGATTAGCTCTATCCTTGGGAAAATTTACACAGGCTTTGGAAATTACCTTGAAGATAGACAGCACATATTTGTTGTTTTAGACCAGGGTGAAGGAGTTTTAACAAGAGCAAGCCATAACAGTCTGTATGCACTTTCTAGGCCTGATTCCCATGGGAAAATTTGGTTTGAAGGTCTGGCTCCTGCCTACAACCTCGCTTCTATAGATTTTCCACACAGAGCTGAGTCACATTTGCCACACCAGAACAAACTAGTCCCCTGCACTCTTCTGAGTATGTCTTTCCTTGGGCACGTATGCTTTCTAAATTCCCCAGAACAGGCAGTTGGTTTTAAAAGTCCTAATCCTTAAATGTCATCTCCAAAAAGGGATAAAAAAGAAAAAAATACAAAGTGGTAAAAAGGCACTGGCCCTTCCAATTTCCTGAATCTGATTCAGCTTACGCGAATTGCAAGAACGGGAGTCTACCTCTTCTATCAGAAGCAGCAATCAGCAATCAAGACATAGAATCCCAGCCCTGACCAGTTTGGACGTCATCCCACAAAACCAAAGGTTGCTGGTTTGATTCCTGGTCAGGGCACATGCCTGGGTTGCAGCTTCAGTCCCTCGTTGGGAAGTGGGCAGTATGTAAACAGTAAGCCACAATGGCTAAGCTGACCAAAATTACTGTGATTTATTGACCAAGACTTCCCCTGGAAGAGGCAAACCTTCAGAGTTCCAAACTAGTAACACAGACAGGGCCTGCCAGTGCTTCTTTAAAGGAATTCCTGGTGCTTCCTACTCCATCTTCCCTGAGAAGAGTTTCAGTTTCTCTTACTATAACCTTTTCCAGCATAGATATATGGAATTATACTAAGTCCTCACTTAAAATTATCAACAGGTTCTGCAACTTTAAGTGAAACGTGTATGTAATAAAGCGTTTTGACATAGGCTAAATGAGGTAAGCCAAGAGTAAGTTCATACAGCATCTCACAATGAAACATTCAGGAGCCTGCTGTATTTTGCAAAACACCGGAAGACTGCCACACACAGGTGTCATTAGAAAGTGCTCCAGAGTCAGCAAAGAGGACTTGCTAAAAGCATACAAACTATTCGGTAACAATGGTACTGTTTGTGGTCAAGAAGTGACGTTTTACTCACTTAATGTTACAACGCTAAGAGTTTTGAGCCGACATGTACCTCACATTGATATTCATATAAAAGAATTGAAAACAGGCCCCCAAAATGTGCTTTTGTGGTAGTGTTGTAGTGTTGGGGTGTTTGTGTTTTACTCAACACATGTGATTTTTAGCAATGGACTTCTGAAAAACAAAAAAACCAAACCAAATAATCGAAACTACTTTCTTTCAGAAGTTTACTTTGGATAAGATAGTTGAAGACAGATGACAATGATACATTGTACAAAAAGACTAGAAAATAATTTAGTGATGGCATCTGACATACCCATAACCTGTGTCTGCAAAGCAGGCCGGCAGCATTCCGCCCACAGCCACAAGTGGAGTAGAGGGAAAAAAGGGACTCATCGCATGCAGGGAACCAAATCAAAGTTCCTTCTTGCTGAAGAGGACAACAGTCACACCAATAAATCTTTCCAGTACCGCAAATACGATGCAATCAAGAGTCCATTAAATGCAAAAACCAGTCTGCTCAAAGTATTCATGAAATTATGCAGTGATAACAATTTCTCACACCTGTAGCATTAAGGGTTCACCACAGTTTTGAGGAAAGCAACAGGCACTCTAGTTATTTCACTACTGCTTGGAGTTTATAGATCCCTGACTCCAACTTTGTGAAACCATACCACATCAAATCAAGAAACAACAGCAGTCTAGCCAAACTGCTTCAGCTGAGAAGGACACTATCTCCTATCCTTCTTACCAGCCTTCCTCTTCCCAGAGAGTAAGTGCTTGGGCTTCATGTCAAACACATGCCTGTCTGCCTCCCCCTTTCTCCCCAAGCGATTCATCTTCTTCTGAGCACTCTTCATCATGGTCTTGGCTTTCTTCACCATCTACAAAGGAGAAAATGTAAAACACGTTAGTCGCTGAAGACCAAATTTCCATATGCCTGATAAGAGTCTGTCTTGCCCTGGCTAGGTGGCTCAGTTGGTTGGAGTATCATCCTGTACACCAAAAGGTCGCCAGTTTGATTCTTTGGGCACATGCCTGGGTTGCAGGTCTGGTCCTGGGTCGGGGTGTGTACAAGAGGCAACCAATCAACATTTTTCTCTCCCATTGTTGCTTCTCTCCCGTCTTCCTCTCTCTAAAATCAGTAAACATATCTTTGGGTGAGGATTAAAAAAAAAGAATTGTCTGTATGGTCTGGGCCTGTTCTGTGTTGAGAAACCCAGGTAAATCTCACTCATGGCTATTCTGGACCCACCAAATATCTGCAGGAACTCAACCAATACCTGCATGTGAAGGCAGGAAGATTATAGCCAGACAAATTTTATACCTGTAAGGACCAGATATATTTAGTGAAAAATTAGAGTGTATCTATTCTAATTCCCTCTTGGACAAACAAAAAAAACCCTCAAATTTGGACCCATGAGACTGTACCACTCACATCTAACAAATGGCAATGTTGATATTAAAATCCAGATTTTTAGATGGAGATGGCATCATGGAATGAAAAACTCAGGCTTCCCTGAAACAGACTGCTCACCTATTATACAGACTTTCTCCTTTACCTAAAGTTTTAAAATGCTGAAACTAACAATTTTTGTTTTTAATTAAAAAGTCGTTTCAGCAAGAGTGTACACCCAGAGCGCCCTTCCCAAAGACTGACTAAAACAGGCTGGCCGGTTCCCAGCATGGCTCATTCTCAGGGAGGGCCCCAGGCCTCCAGGGGCAAAGCTGGAACAATTTCTTAGCATGTCCAAAAGGGCTGGGACCTAGGCTCAGCACCATATGACACCATGCTTCTGTTTACCCCGAGAGGACACCACAAAGGAGTGGTGTAACCAGGGCACAGATCCAGGGACACCCAACTGAACTGGCCCGAGGGCAATACTCGGTGTGCAGTGCACAACTAACTCCCACCTGCAGCCCCTGCTCCAAATGACAGCTGGAGAAGGGGGCTTTGCCCTGAGTGCTTGTGTAGCTAAAAGCAGAGGCCATCCTGTTACTAACTGCACATGAGAGACTAACCTTGGTGTCCCGAAGACCAGACACATCACGTGGCATTCGAGAGCAACTGCGACTCCGGGCAATAGATGTGGGGGGGACAGAGTCTTCCCGCTTTCTTTTCCTAGTAACGCTCCGAGACCTTCTGGCCTGGATTGCATAATGGGCCTGAAAAGCACAAAAAACACATTTCAGGATCCAAGCCTAGCTTTTAGGCTTAGTGACAAACATAAAATCATTCCAATAAAGGGAAAGGACACTCAGGAACTTTTATCAAAGTCACTTTTATCAAAGCCACTGTCAGACAACTAAAAAACATCTTTAAAATACATGTAGTTAATGTCACATTAATTATTGGTCACATATGTTTTTCACTCAACATGGATGCATTATGTTACAAAGCTAACCACATTCCACTGGAAAAGTTTACTTAGAGCTAAGCTGCTCATTCAGCAGTATTTTCTCTTAACCTAGATCACTAGCTTAGCATCACAACCTGAATTTCAAACATGGAGCTATCTCTTCTTTACTTCTCCGTTTTGGGTTATACATCAGAACACTGTGATGGCCATCAGAAAGCTCAGCCTCGAGGTTCAGTAAAAACATGCAGGTGGCCCCTGACGGGTTCTTCTGAAGCCCCCAGTTGTCAGCTTTGCTTGCAGGGTTCACCCTCCCCACTTGTCCTGACATAATAACAACCTAGTTCCTTCAAAGGCATGCAGATAGTAAGCCCAGCACTCACTAAGCTCCCAAATGTCAGAGGCTACATTATGTACATTAAACTAAGACTCCACGTGAGCAGGATGCTCTCTCAACTTGTGCTGACGAAAATCCACATCAACCAAACCCTCCTGAAAAGACACTTCTATTCTTTGACTTCTTTACTCTGCTTCTGGGAATCTGTTCTCAGCAAATAATCCAAAATGTGAAAAATTTCTTGCCCTGGCTGGTGTGGCTCAGTAGACCGAGCACCCGCCTGCAAACTGAAGGGTCACCCATTTTATTCCCAGTCAGGGCACACGCCTGGGCTGCAGGCCAGGTTTCCGGTGGGAGGCGCAAGAGAGGCAACTCATTGATGTATTTCTCCCACACTGATGTTTCTCTCCCTCTCTCCAAAAAGCAAATAAATAAAATCTTAAAAGAAAAAGTTATTTTATACAAAGATATATACGCACAACTCACCAAGCAAAAAACAAACCTGGAATTGTAACGGGTAGTTTAAAATGCCTTTTAATCATTGGGCTTCCAGAAAAACAGCTTTGAATGATTCACAGCCTAATTTCCTCTCCTAGCTGAGAGACTCAATAGCACTTCATGGTTATTTGATAACTAAAGTGAAGCTAATTAAAGAATCAAATAGACTTTAGTTACTAAAATCAAAGTTAAAAAACCCACAAAAAATCTGTGTAGGATGGATGACATAAATTTGTTTTATCTACCATTTCCAATTTGTATTTTTTCACTGACACAAATCCTTGTTTTTATTGTATTTCTTACATATCGCCTTACATTCTTTGAGGCATCAAGTGTATTTTTAAACTGTAAGCCATTCAAAAGGCCTGAAATGAAGAGACTAAATTTTTTACTCAATTCCTCTAAAATCAAAAGAGCCTGAAGCACAGTAAAAAGCAGATGCAGGGTGTGGCACATAGGTATAAACAGAAATAAACAGAAGAAATAAACAGAAAGATGAAAGCCCTCTGCATAAACATTGAATAAAACAGAGTCTACCACATGGCATCTTACTTCATTTTTGTGTGTTATAACCATATGTGATTTTTTTTCTAGTTTTTGAAACTTTCTAAATTTTGCATCAGCCTAAAACAAAAAATGTATATACAAATATAACATTGACAAAAAGCAAAAAAAGAGTAAATGAAAATGCAATTCAGCCACCTCACACACGGAACATCACCTAAACAGGACAGCAGAGTGACATCCAGGGAGTCCGCCCACAGGGATGGTTCTAATGAAGGATGATGGCATGGGCAAGGTGTCCCCAAGTGGGAACAGCAAGAACTGAGTCTGGCAATGCCGTCCTGCACCGAAAAGCATGGCCCCATGAGCCAAACGCCCACCCTCTTCCCCGAGAGGAAAATCACACCAGTGTGACAATGCATACCACCCTCAACCGGGAGGTTCTAATCTCTTTTTAAATCAACTCTGTGATCCTATTGGTTTCTGAGCCCCTGGTTTTCTAGGACACAGCTGTACCCAACTACAAAAGGCCTTGAGAACACCTCTGCACACTCACACTGTCATTATCATCCATGTTGACACCAAGACTGCGCATCTCATTCTCCAAGTCTTTCCGGTGAACCTGAAAAAGCAGGGAAAGGTTATTTGTTTTAAGCAAAATCAGTCTGATGAAATGTTAAACTCAAGGGAAAATGTGCCCTTTATAATGATCTGCAATATAACTCTTTTATAAGTTATACTTTTTATTTGGGTTCATAATGATATTTTTGACAGCTCATTAAATCCTATGAAAAATAACACTTCATGGGCACTTGCCACGTGTAGGACAGTGTATACTTCATCTTGGATTCTGCACAGCACTGCAGGAGATCCCTGAGTGCCGATGAAGTCACCGACGCAGAGGTCACTCAACACACACCCTAGCCCAGCACCCCCACAGGCCCGCCGAGCACCACGGGGGATACTGCACCTGCCGAGAACCACTCATTTGCCATCCCTGAAAACAGGTCAAGCACAGGAATATCCATGAGGCATGTGTGCTGTCGTCATTTTCCTTCCTGCCCCACTACATTTTAACTGCCCTGCACATCATCCTTTCTTTGGGCAGCTGACCCCCACTTTCTGTCATATCCTGAGGTTCAGAGATGACCACAGACCTAACCTCACTTGCCACCCTGACGAGGACACGAGTAGCACTGAGTAGGAGAAGATGCCTAGAGACAGAGCTGAGAGCTGGAAAAGAAACCTGACCTCACTGACCCACTCGAGCCTGATCTGTGTTAACCAGTCCCAACAGGTCACAAGGCAATAAATCGCCTTCAGATTTATCTTAGATTGGGTTAGGTTTCCAAAAATTGTAAAACACCAGTCTGGCCTAATGAAATAATTAAATAAGAACATGTTAATTTGTGGCTTGCTTTACAGCTATGAATCATAAATTATAATCACATAAACTTTGAAAATCACCAGGAAAAGGCATTATAATCAGAAGATCAAAACTCAACCTACCATAAAAGTCAAGACATACCAGCAAAATAAAGTATGTACAATGTTATGGCTGCACGCAGGTAAAACTGTTTTATTCAGCACTGACTATCCAACGACTAGCAAAGAAATGGGTCACACCTTCTTGAAAAGACACGAAACTTGCCTTCTTAGCCGTTCGTGGCATTCTGGGTCCCTGCGTGTCCTTCTCTTTGGACTGCAGAATTTTCAACTTCCTTTTTTCTCTGATTTGTTTTGCCAGCTGTCGGATTTCCACCATTTCTTCGTCTTCACTTTCTGGTTCACTGTCATACTCTCCAGCAGCTGTTCTTAGCTCTTCTTCTTTTTCTAACTCTTCCAATTTCTTTAAAAAGAGTCACAGATAAACAAAATCAACAATGAAATCTTTGTAAGTGTAGGAGTTCTGGGAACTAGGTTTCTTTCCCCTAAGCCTTTTGGTAAGCAACAGGTGCCAGGGTTGTCCCGTGTTGGCCTCACCCATGTGCCAGAACTGACCTCCCAGCAAAGATTCTGGGAAGAAAATGAAGACTGTGCGAACACTGAGCTTATAGCATATTAACTGCTCAGGGCTATGTCTTCTTCTTTAAAATCAACAAGTGCACACACTGCGGTTAAAAATGTGTAGACAAAGAGCACTTCCCTCAGTCTCCTCACTCCCAGCAGATACAAGGAAAACATCCTTGAAGAACTTTAATCATCAACGTGCCCTGATCTTGTATTACATTTTTCCATTTATCCATCCCAATGCCATCTCCAAACACAGCCTCATCAGCTATATAGTTAAAATTTAAAAAAATAGCCCTGGCTGGTATAGCTCAGTGGATTGAGTGCCAGCCTGTGAATCAAAGGGTTGGTTTGATTCCCAGTCAGGGCACATGCCTGGGTTGCAGGCCAGGTCCCCAGTAGGGGACACATGAGAGGCAACCACACATTGATGTTTCTCTCCCACTCTTTCTCCTTCCCTTCCCCACACACATACGTAGGCCCATACGTAAGAATATTTATTCTAAAAATAAATAAATATTTTTTAAAAAATTTTTAAAAAACCCCACACACATACGTAGGCCCTGGATGGGTAGCTTAGTTGGTTAGTGTTGCCCCAGTGTGCCAAGGCTGTATCCTCCATCCTCAGTCAGCCCACACACAAGAATCAACCAATGGCCCTGACCGGTGTGGGTCAGTTGGTTAGGCACCGTCCTGCAAAGCTAAAGGTCACCAGTTTGATTTACGGTCAGGGCACATGTTTGTGTTGCAGGTTTGGTCCCTGGCTGGAGCGTGTCTGAGAGGCTACCAATCGATGTTTCTCTGTCACATCAATGTTTATCTCCCTTTCTTTCTCCCTCCCTTCCCCTCTCTAAAAATAAATAAATATTTTTTTAAAAAAAGAACCAACCATTGAATGCACAAGTAAGTGAAACAAGATATCAATGTTTCTAAAATCAACAAAAAATAAAAATATATGTATGTACATCATTATCCAATAAATAAATAAACTGGCAGGAATCCAGCAGTCCACTGTGCCCACATCACTATTTATGTGACAGTGTGGGGGGCAGAGGCTAGGAGGGGCCTGGCCTGCCAATCACAGGCCACCGAGAACCCACACTGAATTAATGGGTGCTGTACAATAAGAGATGAAAGCAAGAGGTACAACTGATGAGTTTGAAGGAGGTGAGCAATACCACTTCTCATGTGGGAGTACAGACAATAGGATAAGTATGGTAAGAGATAGGAAAAAGCAGAAGACTAGTTAAAGCCATGGCAACAAGGATGAAAATCAGACAACAGAGAACAAGCACTACTTCAAAAGTGGAAAAAAACAGGGAAAGTGTGAAAGAAGCTTATGTTAGGGTTCATGCCCTTGATACCTGGAAATTAAAAGTATAAATTAAAGGTACCATTTGGAAACTGAAAAGAAAATGAGGAAATTTAGATGGCCAATATTTATAAGATTGTATTTTCCAAGAAGCTTGACTGAGAAAAGACAGTATAACAACTAGAGGAGGACCCCGATTACTTTTGTTTTTTAAAAGCGAGAGAAACTCGAAAACACTCATATTCTAAGCAAACGCAAACAGGGAAGAGACTGAAACGGAAGGGAAACACTGGTGCTGCCCCCAGAGGTACCGCCAACAAGAAGCACCTGTGGGAGAACAGCACTCACGTCCAGGGCTGCACATTCTTCAAAAAGGCAGGCCACCTGCTAAGATGAGACGAGGGGAGTAGAGCTAGAGCAAGAGCCTGAGAAGGTAAAAGGTCTCTTCAGGAAGAGGATGAATGGCGCTGACAGTGGGCAGAGTGCTGGGGTCTCTAGGACACTTGGCAGGAGCAGGCTGTTACTGACTGGGGACAGGGAGGCTTGTGGGTATAAAAGAAACAGTGGCAACACAGGCAGGTGAGCCAGAAGTGGTGCTTGAGTCATAGACCAAACTGTTAAGCATCACACCATGGGACCAGCTAAAAGTTCTACCTGTATCTTCTTGTGGTCATAGTAAAAAAGAATAAAAATCATGTAAGTTAACAAGTGACACAAACCTGCATGATGTCAGGATCGATGTAATCAGCTACATTATGGCCTTCCCAGATCTCAGGTATCTTATCATACTTTTCAGATGAATTCATTATGTCCCAGTACTCTAAAGTTAAAAAAAAAAGTTATGTTTGCCGTAGTTTTTAGTTTCTTCAAGCACCACATGTCCAAAACAAGTTATAACTCAAGCAAGTCCTGCCACTCTGTAATTCGACACAATGTAAGCAAAGCCACCTGCTTATCAAAGATTCACCCGCCAGGCATTTCCCAATGTGTATCAGTACCTCGGGATGAAGTAAGCACAGAAAGAAAAAAAACAAATAAGAGGAAAAAGGCATGAGTAACAGATTGCTGACAATTATCAACCTGGCTCAATATTTATGTGCTACAAAAGCTACCAAAATAATCCCTTATCCTGAAGTGACAGAAAACTACCAGAAATGTCATCTTTAAGAAATTAAATGACTAAAGTCTGGAAGACCTGTGCTCATTAAAGCCCTTTCACACTTTTCTGAAACACTTTACAATGTAACTGACAATTTAAAATAATTATTACATGCAAGTCCTTACTTTTAAGATCCAAAATATAATCATCCCCTAGTTCCAGTTCAATATCTCGTTCCTGAAATAAAAAAACCACGATTACGATCAGCTCTATTTGACCTTTCAGGTTCAGAAATGCTAAGCTCCCTCCTTACTCCTATAAAATACCCTCATCTCCCACCTAAGGACCAATCCTTCCCACACCCGGCACTCAGCTCCTGTTTTCAGTAGGACAGCTGTTGTGAACATCTGGAGGCCACATACACGGGAGCAGGCATCTTCATCTAGTCCCATGGCCGTCTTCTCATAGAGCATAACAGCGTGGACACCAGTGCTGTTAGCTGTTTACAGTCTGAGTCTCTATCCCTTGTTGCAAAGCCTTTCTGCCCATCTCCGCAAACAAACCCAGTGAGGCCGACAGTGACCTACCATCTTCCTCCGAGGCTCCCCAACCTCCATTCTCTTCCTGCGTGCCACCACTCCTTCTGGAATGAAGGGGGGCCTCTCCTGAGAAGATATTATGGGAAATGTTTATATAAAACACCTTGCTGAAAGGGAAACACAGAAATGAAAAAGTAACAGTAAATTCTCTATCTAAAAATATATATATATAGAACCACACCCAGACTATTTAAAAACCAACAGATAACTCAGGGGGAGAGGGGAGGGTGCAGGGCCGGTTTGGGCCAGGAAGCCAGGAGGACTCCACAAGACACTTCTGAAGTTCATTTAAAAAACATAAACACCAAGAACAATAATACAAAGGAAGGAATATGTATGTACAGCAGATCATGAATAAAAGATATTTAAGTACAAACCTGAGATAAATGACTAGCTACCTAAAAACAGAGTTAGACAACTACCTCAACCTGCTTCCTAACAACAAAATAAATTCATAATCAAGTAAAGACTTTTATTCACAACAATTATTTTTGGAATGGATGGTTACGCACTGATATGCATGACATGAAACCCAGAGGCCACAGAGAAAATATTAATATCTGCTAATAGCTTTAAACTGTGTACTTTCTGAGGTTAGAAAAAAATCCCCCAACTCAAAAGGCAAATGACAAAAATAAAAAAACTTGTTTTATATAGCACAAAATATTTTGTAAAATACATGACTGTCTAACCACTATGCTGTACACCTCAAACTAGTACAAAATAACAATTAATGGTAACTGTAATTTTAAAAAATTAAATAAAAAAGAACATACAAAGGTCTGATTTCCTTAACATAAAAATCACAAGTAAATGAGCAAGATAAATGATCTGAAGATCTAAAAAGGCCAAAAAGCCTATCAAAAGTGCTCACCCACACTAATCATTAAAGAAATACTGCATGGCAAAACTATTTCTTTAAAAATTGTAGCAAAACTGGTATAGAAGACTGTATATATTTCAGGTGTTCACTGTCATAATCCAATACTTATACACATGACATAGTACTCACCAGTGTCCATCTAGTTAGCAGCCGTATCTTTACCCAGCTTAAACCACTAGATTGACAGATGCCAACACCCAACACTAAGTGTGCATGCAGGGAACCATCAGTGTGGTACATACTGTAACGCATTAGGGAGGACGACATTTTCAATGCCATACCTTAGATTCCCCTATAGAGTTGTACATAAAAATATAGAACTCTATATAAAAATGTGTATTCAAGTAGTGTCTGTAATGGCAATTAAATGAAAAATTTAAAAGAACATAATAAAATCTGTTTAAATAGTTTAAAAATACACTTTTATACCATAAATATTTCTGGAAAGATAAACAGTATAGAGTTAACCGTAACCTCCCTGGTAGAGTGAGAAGCGGGTTTTAACTTGGCACCTCACACTCATTTTTACCTTTTCGATACACACAGCATGATTTCTAGTCTGAGTAAAAAGCTCAAGCCCACTCACGCCATCCATTTATGCGCGTTTGTAGCTGGATCTGCGGCCCCTGGACAAAGGCATGCAGCATGTCCACTCTGTCGGCAACAACATCATAATCCCCTCTCACAGGCTCTCTGGAAGGGCAACCTCACCTTATCATCTCTTTTGTTTGGCACAGCCAAATGCAATCTGTTCAGCACCTCATTCACTTTATTTCCTTTCATTTTGGTTTCCACTCGATGAGCCAAAAGCCTGTCACAGGCCTAAGACAGTGTGAAAACAAGGAACGGAGTCACAAAATGTCCTGCAGCAGCAACCAGAGACTATGTTCCAAAAGCCTCAAACTGACTAAGCACTTCTGTTCAGTAGTGACATCTGGTGGCTAAGTCCCCAAAACTACTCTAAGGTCCACTCTCCCCTGGGGCAGACCCCACTCTCCAGGATGGAGGATGCATCTTTCTCCCTTTGCAGGCCAGGCCCAATCTGAGGGTGAACCCAGAGGCAGCAGCACCACCATACAGCTGGCCCTAAGAGACCCCATGGTCCTTTCCAGGCCCTTGTCCCACTGCCAGTGACCCCATGCTCACCAGTCAGCTCCCTAACTCGACACACATTCTGCCTCGGGACTCTTAACTAGAACAACTGAGCTGGACAGAGTAAAAGATATCAAACTTGCCCTTACTTTTTATTTCAGGTAAAAATGACAAAAGAATAAGAACAGTAGAACCACATGAAACCTAACACAAAATGCCTCCTTAAGCTGTTCCCACTTACACTACTTTTTTCCTGTTTCTGAACAGGATCCATGAAAGTACTTTTCAGTCCAGTCCCCATGGAAATACTGGCAGGTCAGGAGAAACAGCAGGCAGTGGACAAAGTTAAAATGGCCTGTGCTGGCAGCGTAAGTATCTCCGCAAAGCCCCACTGTCATCGGGCCAGGTGGAACTGGGGCTTCAGTGAGGGTGCCTGCAATTCATGCCACCTGCCTCGGCCACTACAAGTCCTCAGTGTCATAACCCCAGAAAGCAAGCTCTCCCCATGACTGACTTTTCTAAAACAAGAGAAAGACAGTAAAGGGTTGGACACCTGCCTATGAGGGAGCACTGACCTCTGTTTTCACTTTGATAACCCCCTCCTCCGTCAGGGTGCTGGTTTCTATCACAGGAAATCCTTCAGCCTGCAAATCTGTAAATATTTTCTGGGAATATAAAGGGAAAATGAGAGACATGTTATTTCCAGGTCCCTGTGAACAAATCTTAGTGTTACTCAAATGGGTGTTATAAATGCTACTCAGCACATCTGTGGTTTGACTCTTGAAAAACATCTCCAGAAAACAGTTACTTATTTTTCCCTATACTGTTCTGTGATTAAGAAAATTTAAATTACTAGGAGGATCAAACCAGAGGCTTTCCAGAACATTCCATGAAATCTCACCTTCCAAAATGAAAGTTGGCAAGAACAAGATAGGGATTATTTTTTTAGAATATTTTCAAATAATAAAAATACTTGGCCTCCACAGCCTAAGAGAACTCCTTAGAAAACAACACAAAAATGTTTACAAATATAGCTTCTTACAAATCACTTAAGACTCTTAAGAGCAGGGACCTAATCTGTGCGCCCCCTCTACCATATACGACTGCACTCGGATGCAGGTGACCAAACCCACAACCATTAGCTTCCCGTGAACAAGACCTGCCTCCTTACTGGGAAGGGCAGTAGTTCTGAAGAACACTGGGATCAGAGAGCCAGTCTCACTAGTGACTGGTGTGTAAATCCAAGTAAGATACTCACTGTCTCTGCCTAAGTGTGTGGTGACAATGTCCCTCACAAAAGATGGGGCAGTAACCCTACACTGTTACTGATGAAGTCAAAGTACCAATGAAAACAGGCTACAAGATAGTGTTACCCAGGAAGCAGCATCGCAGCAGCGCCCAATGTCACTTCTTGATTTCACTAAATCTTCCCGACAATATCACTGGTAAAAACCCAATGGTGTCACTATTACTCTAGACAGGTGACCTCACCCACCAGGGCTACTAGGTGGCAAGGCTGAACTTGAGCCTGTGTAGTATCAGAACCTGGGCCTGAGCACCCCAACCTTCCTGGTGTCTCTGACTTTACCTTCTTTTACACTCTCCAGTGCTTCTGGACTGAAAAACTGAGATCACTCCATAGGTACTTGGGTCCTTTCAAAGGCAAGGGAATTCTCTAATGGTGGTGTTTATATAATTGGTAATTTACAGAATATGCCGTAATTCCCTGAGGAAACCAGCATGGCTGTTTGAAAAAACCTAATTTTCACCAAGTATGAAATGTCCACATAAGAGGGAAACTGGGAAGAGAACAGCATGCCCCTTCTTCAGGACCCTCAAGACATGGCCAGATGGAGTCATCATTCTATTGCAGGGGCCCCCAAACCTCAAGTGTGCACCCTCACCAGGGGACTGTTCAAGGCCAGGCTGTTGGGCGCCCTGTTTCTCATTCCAAAGACCTTTCATTCAGAACGTATTACACGGGAAACCAGCTGACACTGTTGGTTGGGGCCACAACCTGAGAACCACTGTACTAGCACAAAGCTTCTCACAGCGTCTGTCCTGAAAGAAGCAACTAAAGAGGGCTGCAGGATTCAATCAATTTAACAAATCAAGGTTAAAATTCCCTGCTTCTTGGGAAACTTCAGCAGACACTACAGATTCCAGTTTCAGGAAGTGTCTGGTGCTTATTTTCCTTTGTTCACTCAAGTTTCCAAACTCACTTCATCACAGGCTCTGCAGCAGACACGTAGGTAACACTACAAAACCCCTGCTACTTAGAAACTTACCCTGCAAAGTGCTGCTCCTGTGCACCTGGCTGCTGAGGCCTGCACTGCATTTCCTTTAAGGCCCTGGTATAAGAGAATGGTCCCTCCCTATGTGAGCACATGAGCCAGGGTTTAAATGTGCCAATTTGTTGTACGCAGTGAGGTTTCCACAGCCTCTAACAGAGCAGCCATCAGGAAATTTCAGGTTTAGTTTGCCACTAATAAGTTTTTATGTCATGTTGACTGAATCACCGAGAATACTATTGGGTTATCCAAAAAGTCTGTTTTGTTTTTTTCTATGATGGCTCTACTAGTGCTTAGTTGTTTTTAACTTCATTTGAAACAATTTTGTTAGATTGTATTATGACAGCTGTCATATCAGCATGCATCTTAAAATTTTCAAAATTGGTGAATTTTTATGTAGCCAATTTAAAATTGAAGATGGAAGAAAATACACAATGTTTTCAGCATAAATAAAAAAAGATCTGGGCAGTATATATAAGAGAAGGTACTGTGACTGAATGAACGTGACAAAAGCAGTTTGCAAAGTTTTGTGCTGGGAATTTCTTGCTGGGCAACACTCCAGGGTTGAGCAGACCAGATGAAACTGATAGCAATCAAATCAAGACATTACTTGGGAATAATCAACCTTACACCATGTGGGAGATAGCTGACATACTCAAAATATCCAAATCAATACAGTTATTGGTAAACATGAAAAATATCTTTTATTTTATAGAAAAAAACTATACAAACGTTTTGGCCAACCAATATCTCAACTATAAAATCAAAAACTGGACTACCATTGCTACTAGAGTCTGGCTGTCTGAGATAAGATTTAGAATTGCTACGAAATACTGAACACGTTAGGGTGACTTACCTGATCATCTTCTGGAAGCTCAGCTATTCTCTTCACATCGCATTTGTTTGCAACGACTATAAGAGGCTAGAGAAGAAAGGTAACAAGGTGATTAGTACGTTCACGATGCAGGTCATAAACTGTGGTAACTGGTCATCACACTCACCTTGTTGACAAAGAGAGGTTTGATATTCCGGAAGAGCTCCAGCTGAGCCTGCAGGCCATGCCCACACTGCTCAGATACATCCATCACGTATAGCACTGCAGCACGTAGGTGGGCCAGGGCTGTGATGGCCTGCATTTCGATTGTGTTCCGATCCTCTAAAGGGTGGTCCAAAATCCCTGGGGTATCTACAACCTAATGGTCAGTCTCGTAAATCCAAAGCACACCTGCTCACAAACTTACTGTCCAGAACATCCTGGAGTCACCCACATACCCAAACTGGCCTTATAAAACTAGTTAATAAAACACAGGTCTCCCAGCTGACCGTGATAAAATAAAGCAGTAAGGGGAAACTAAGAGATGGAGGGACCTGCACAGCTCATTAAAGAACTAGCAATGACCTTGAGAGAATGCCTCTCTGCTCATTAGTGACATGATGAAACAGAAATGGAGTAATTGGTAAATACACCCACGTGAGAGAAACTACTTCCTCTTTGATAAAGTTAAATTCAAATGTGGAAACAGACTGCTTCATGCTTTTAAATAGTTAGTAAATGACATCTCTAATAACAGGGTCAAAAAAGGTGACAAGGAGACTTTCCTCAGCAGCACCACTGTTAATGTAATGCAGAACCTTCTTGGTAGCTGGCTGCTCCCCTGAACTCCATCAGAGGAATGAGAAATGCCCTGACACAACCCCAAAGCTCAGAGTTCTCTTCAAGGGGCTGCTTCTGGCAACCCCAAGAATCTACTTTTTACGTCCTCAGTCTCCCCACCTCTAAGTGCACTAAGAGACGAAAACTCTAGTGCTATAGGGATCAAAATCATACTCCCTTAACAAAACCACCAAGATGTCTGTTCTGTTTCCAGATAAGAGCTCTCACCTGCCAGCGCAGATACTTATAATCCATGTGCCCAACAAACAAAGACTTGGTGGTAAATGCATAAGGCTGCACATCCACATCTGCTCTTGTCACCTGAAACCAAACAAAGCAATCATAGGGTTCTACCCTTTATTTTCTTTCAAACAGCATCAAAGTAGCCCTAGCACGTTATCAAGATTGTTTTGGTAGAAGAAATAAAAATAAAAAAGAACAAGTGAAACCTCTATGGTTAACTGCTGAGGACAGGAGCTACTGAGTTTTGACAAATGATGGGCTCCACTTCCTCATCACCAGCTCATAGGGAAAGAGTCTGAATCAGGGAGCAGGGAGGCAAGGCAGGCCCAGTAGGAGGAGAACACGCACCACATTCTCCTTATCCACCCTGGCCCCAGAAATACCCAGTGCGACTTGCTTTGATAATGAAAACATTCTACATCTGCAATGTCCATGTGGGGCCTGCTAGCCACATGCTGTGCATGAACTCTTGAAATGCAGTCAGTTCCTCTTAACTGAGGAACTCAAAATTTTAATTGCTTAATTCTAATTAATTAAGTGGCCCTTGTCTCTGCCCCACAGTACTAGCTTACAAGTGTTGGAGACATGGCTATGACACTGCAGAGCTTTGGCTTGTCACCATGTCAGCATAACTTGTGGACAAAGCAAAAATCTACAAACCTGCTTAAAGGCAAAAGTGTTCTTGGTAGCAAACAGCCACCTGAATGTAACAATTGTTTATTGGCATCTGAGCTACTGTTGCTTGCGAAATGACATTTTAATAGCTGTTTGTGCTCTGCTCACATGCCTCAAAGTCAGGTAAATTATCCTAAAGCATCAAGTTACTTACATAAATAGTGTCCTTGAGTCCCAATTATTAAACTCACTCAAATAAAGAATGACTCAGCACTTCCCACTACATGGACCAAATAGTTTATACGAATGCTGACACAGCAACCAAGGGGACAGTACCCAAGAAACACCTTGGGAGACTGGGAAGTCCCATTCAGGGAGTGTGGCCTGCCACAGTGAACGGCAGTTCTGCTGGCACCACTATTCCCAGAACATGCCAAGACGACATGTCCTGTGAGAGGTTGTTGTGTGTTAACAAAAATGTTTTTAAACATCTCAAATCCCTTAGAAACTTGTAGGAAATACGTTAAGAATCAAAAAGTGGTTTCTGTAATAGCAATATAAATCTAGGATCTGACAAACTCATTCCTCCCTTCAACAACACAATGTTTTAAGCCCAGGGTAATACCAACTAAAGGACTAACTGGCCGGCCGCCCTTCATCCCATGCATTCAGGACATGGCAGCACTTTGGCCTCAAGTCCTTAGTCACCTGCATAACTATCAGAAAGAGACCAACCTTATTGATGAAGCTGGACTTGCCAACATTTGGGTATCCACAGAGAAGTAAGGTTCTCGTGTTCGGGTCAATAGTTGGCAGACGGGACAGGTGCTGACGCACTGTGAAGAAGTTTAAATTAAATGTGCTTAATTTCATAAGAAAAATTAAAGAAATTCAAGGGTAAGATGTTTCACTTAATACTCCAGGCCTGTGGTTACATTAACCTCACTCCAACATTTATAATGTAAGTGATGGAGAAAATACAAATGAATGAAAAAAAGGATCATCTGCAGAGGCACCATGGTATATAAAGGACAATATTTCTCAAATCTGGCTGCATCAAGCAGTCTATTCCTAGGCCATACCAGCTTGGTATTCCTATCCAACAGGTCAAAGGTGAAGCGAAGAAAAACACACATCCAAGTGCCCAGGGAAAAATTTTTTTTTTAAATCTTTTTCATATTAAATTTTTTTTTTTTTTAAGATTTTATTCACTTATTTTTAGAGGGGAAGGGAAAGAGAGGGAGAGAAACATCAATGTATGGTTGCTTCTGGTGCATCCCCTGCTGGGAACTGGCCCCTGCTGGGAACTGGCCTGCAACCCAGGCATGTGCCCTGACGGGGAATCGAACTGTGATCGTCTGCTTCACAGGCCCATGCTCAATCCACTGAGCTATGCCAGCCAGGTGGTGGGAAACTCTTAATAAATGAGACAATATCTGGAAAAGTGCTTTTGAGGCCAGCGCATGTGCCATCATTTTTGGGCTAGACAGAGCACTGCTTCCACGTAAGGACTACTACATGTGGGGACTGTCTACATTGCACAGTGTCAGAGACACCACCAGCCAAACAGATCGTCAGGAGCACTGTCAAAGCAGCCAATTATTATATTCTTCTTGCAAATTATTTGCTAGATCCTGGGGGAAGCAGAACAGAACTACCTGAGTTAAATACATTTGTAGTGAAGCCCTAGCTGTTGTGGCTTGGTTGGAGCATCATCCCACAGACCAAAGGGCTATGGATTTGATTACTGGTCAGGGCACACACCTGGGTTGCTTGTTCGGTTCCCAGTCGGGGCTCATACAGAAGGCAATTGGTCGATGTTTCTTTAGCATTCATATTTCCCTCCCTCCCTCCCTCCCTCCCTGACTCTCTTTCTGGAACCAGTAAATACATCCTTAAACAAAAGTTAAAAACATGTATTTGTGATGAAAATTAAATAAATGTAAAAAGGAAAAAGAACTGTTTCAACGAAAACCATACCACATTAATTCAAATGTTGTCTTAGTAAATGAAACTATCAGGTAACAAAAGAAGTAGGAGTTTGATGTTATCACATGTTACAAAGAAAAGCATTAAAAGAAATTAAAAAGTAAATAATAAGTAAAACTGAGTCATTTTATTTTCATACATATTTTTGGTATTTTCCCACAATTTATAATATATATGCTTTACCTACTAAATATGAGAAACATAGGTAAATTGTCTTAATAGTGCCTGTCTGAATTTCTTACAGGGCAGGGTAGGAAAAATACTGTATTTTGCCACGTGTAACGTGCTCCCATGTATACTGCACACCCATGTTTTTGGCCTAAACTTTCAGGAAAACAATTTTCATTTTAACTTTTAAATTCAATTATTTATTTATTTATATTTAGAAACAAAACCAATCTCTGTGTTCCAGGGTATTATTTTGCATATGGATACTGTTACTGCTTTTTCAAGTTACACTTTTAACACATTAGCATACGTAAAATAATTTAAAACATTCATATAGATACAGAATTAGGACTACCCATGTACAATGTACATCCTTATTTCCCCCTAAAAAATTTGGGCACGAAAGTGCACGTTACACATGGCAAAATACAGTAATTTGACCCTGTCATTCTAAAAGAAAACAAAAACAACTTTCAAAAATAAGTTTCGACAAAGATCAAGCACCTTAATAGAATGAACTCAAAACTGTTTTTGCTAATGCTTGACAAGTACCTTGTTCTAAATACTCCAAACTTTGCTTCTGCCTTTTGATGATAGTACACATGCGCCCCAAGGCAGCACGCTTCAGCTGCTTGCAGCGGTAGAGAGAGTCTCCATATTTCATAAGCCGCACATAATCTTTAGCAACACTTAAAGAAATAAAAAGAAACACGTAAGATTTTTTTTTTACTTCTGACAATGTAAAAGATGATATATTAAGAAAATACCTTACTTGTCTACTAAATTCTTGGCAATATTTATTTGTCCTAGAGCCAACTTGTAATGATCCTTGTCATAGAGAATGTTCATCAAATCAGCATAAAACGGATGGATATCCTGCAGCAAAAAAGCAAAGCAGTCAGTTTGGTACAAGTCTCTCATCCCTATGTGTAAATAATACTTGAAAAATAGTCCTAGGGAAATATATCACACCGTTCCCTCTCTTCCCAAACCCCTAGCATCTCTCCCTATCTCTCTCTCCTGGCTAATGTCTGTCTGGTTTGCTGAGACAACAGGAGTCAAAGGGAAGGAAGTGGTACCGTCTTTTCTTTCCTCCTATTCCCGCAAACCCAAACTAGTCAGATCTGTGTCTACCAGGCCATTCAAACAGCTCATAATCATCATCAGTAACCTCCAGTTCTCCCTCTATCTCATCAGGCCCTTCCCCCCAGACTTCCTGATGTATTTACCTGGCTTCTGGGACCTTTTCGCTCACTGGCTACTTCATCTCCAACTCCCTTGCTAGCTCGAGTTTCCAGACCAATGCTAACTACTCGTGCTCCCTGGAGGACTCTTCTTACACTCACTTTCTAGGTGACCTCATCTAAGTTTTCACACATCTACATTTTCATAAGCTCCATCTGACCATCTCCAAGCCAGACTTCTCATGAGTTTCAGACTGCTCAGCACTTCTGCTTGAACATCTTACCAACATCTCATGATCAACATGTTCAAACTGCTCTCCACCTCCTCAAACCCATCTTCTTCCCTATCTCAGTGAAGGGCAACTAACTCCACTGTCTAAGGTGCTACAGCCCACACCTATTCTGTGAGAAAATCCGTTAGCTCTACCTTCAAACGATACCCTGAAGCCAACCATTTCTCAACTCCTTCATTACCACCTGCCTCTAAGTCACTGTGCTGACCTGAGGGGCCTCCTACCCTCACAGACCAGTCATCCTCTAAGAGCAGGGTGTCAAACTCATTTTCACCAGGGTCCCATCAGCCTCACAGTTGTCTTCAAAGGTCCAGATGTAATTTTAGGACTGAATAAATGTAACTACTCCTTAACAGTTAAGTGAGAGCTTGGCACTGCCCCTGGGTAGAAACAAGGTGCTGGGCCAGATAAAACAAGGTGGAGGGCCCGATTCGGCCCACGGGCCTTGTGTTTGCCACCTGTGCTCTAAGAGCTAAGCCAGAACATGGCCAGTCCCAGGCTCAGATCCAAAGCCTTCCCTCCTTAACAGAATTCAAGCCCTACACAAGTCCCCTCACCCTACCCATCACCTCCCTGACTCATTCCCCACTATTCTCCTTCTCATTTGCCCTGTTCCACTTCCTTTCCTTGAAGACAGCATACTCTAGACCTTGGCATTTACTTTCACCAGGAATCCAGAGCTCACCACCTCACTTCTTTCAGGTCTCTGCTACAAACGCCGGGCTAGGGCATTCCTACTCTCCTTATTTATCTGACACACCATATACTTTTATGTTTACTGTCTTTGCTTCCACTAGACAAGAATAGGAACTTCTTTTATTATTGCTGTACTCCTGGAGCCTAGATCAAAACCTGAGACACAGCAACCATTTGATAAATGGTAACTTACTCTAATCCTCTACTCTGAAACTGTTCTCAGATAATTAATTCTGATTTTTAAAAAAACTGTTCAGCCCTGGCTGGTGTAGCTCAGTGGATTGAGCATGGGCCTGCGAACCAAAAGATCGCGGTTCGATTCCCGGTCAGGGAACATGCCGGGGTTGCAGGCCAGTTCCCAGCAGGGACCAGTTCCCGGCAGGGGATGCACCAGAAGCAACCATACATTGATATTTCTCTCCTTCTCTCCTTCCCTTCCCTTCTAAGCATAAATAAATAAAATTTAAAATAAACAAATAAATAAATAAATAAAATTGTTCATAAATTTGAACCTCTAATGTATTTTAAAAACTCACACAATGCCAAGGATGAAAAAGATAAAACTTCTTACACAGAACTACAGAAAACTGGTACTAATTAGATGAAAATATTTTCTTTGCTCAAACTAGGTATTTCCTCAAATCAAATTAGTTTAGAATAATCTCATGGTTTTTTTAAAAGATTTTATTCATTTTTATTTTTTAGAGGGGAAGGGAAGGAGAGAGGGAGAGAAATATGTATGGTTGCCTCTCGTGTGTCCCCTATTGGGAACTGGCCTGCAACCCAGGCATGTGATATGCCCTGACTGGGAATCGAACAGCTATCCTCTGGTTCGCAGGCCCACGCTCAATCAACTGAGCTAAACCAGCCAGGGCTAATCTCATGTTTTTTGATCCCCAGGTCTTCCCATAGAATCCACCTTTTCTCAAAAAATAACTTACTGATTCAACAAGCATCTATTGAGTACATGTGCCAAGTCCTAGACAGAGACACGAATAAGTGCCACTCCTCCAGCAGGAACTTTTAAATTTTAAACACGTCTGTATTTTTAAAAGTAAATAAATAAATAAAGACTGTATTTATTTTTAGAGAGAGGAATGGCAGGAGAGAGTGAAAGACAGAAACATCATTATGAGAGTTGCCTCTCACATAATCCCAACCAAGGACCTGGCCTGCAAACCAGGCATATGCCCTGACCAGGAATCAAATCTGCAACCTTTTGCTTTGCAGGACAGTGTTCAACCCACTGAACCACACCAGACAGGCACTTCTGTACTTTTTAAAGCAAGCCATTGCCATCTTTTTTAATATAAAAGAAATACCTGTCACATAAACCAACCTTTTCTCTGTTTTAGCCTACCAGCAGAGACTATTCCAGGGCAGTGACAAATTTAGGTTCTCACACTGTACTGCTGACCCATCTCTCACCACCCCGTATAACCTTGCCACCATATGATCCTGCACAGGACTTCATAAGCAGTGTTACTCTAGCTTTCTACAACTAAATAAATGGGCAAACTGCACTCCATAGCAGAGTTAAGAGTTCAACTTTCTTGGCTTAATGGAGTAGTGACAGGTACTTCACACGATTTCTTACCACTGAAAAAAAAAACAACCACCACCACAAACAGTGATAGACCTCAGGACACTGACCCAATGTGTGGCCAGGAAAAGGAAACAGGGAGGAGAGGCAACTAGATGAGGTGGTGAGCCACCAGAATCCCAGGCTTTCAGATTAACAGCTTTCACATCACAGTTTTTAGAGACCTTGGTGTCGGCCTCTGCCAAGCTGAGACGTTACAAAGCCTCAAAAGAGAGCTCTGGGCCCTCTTACATGGGGTTTGCTTGGTAGAAAGTGGGAATGCTAAGGAACAAAAATACCCATGTTCTGTTCCCCACTTTGCCGTTAACTCAGTGAATAAGACAAGTCAACTAGTTTGTTTCTTTCATTATCTGTCAGATGAGTAGACCAAACTGGTTAAACACCCATGACCTGAAAGCTCACATTTATATGAGTATCTGTGCCCCCAGAGTTACTTACATCCAATTTGGGAAAATCTGTTAGAATCTGTGAGAGTCTGTCATGGTAGTTCTGTTGAGTAAATTTGACTTTTCGCATGTAAAAATGTCTAATACGATGAATTTGGTAATGTTTATGAATAACTGTTGGAGTCTTTCGTTGAGTCTTCGATAACGTTAGGTCAATGAAGTCCTGCAATTAAATAAGAGAGTTATACCAAATATATCTACTTTGTATCCCCTTTATTTGAAACCTTTTTAAATGACTAACATTTCATAACAGTATATATTTTAAACTACAAACACTTTTCCTATCCAAGTCTTTTATACACTACTTTGTTTATCTTTATAGTTTCTGGCCTTTAAGAAATAATTACCAAGTGGCTGTTGAAATAAATTTTATACCAAACTTTCTTTTATCTTAATTTTGAAACACCCAAAAACCTTTGAAACTTAATAGTCAGACAACTCAAGCATAAATCAGGAAAAAATGTCTGAAAAAGAACAATCCTGCAATTACAATTCGTGTATCTTTCAAAGTACGTAAAGTGATTGGTAAAACAAAAATCCACTGTTTATACTTTCCTAGAATATGTAAGGTGACTGAGGACATCAGAGATTTTTGGCATGAATTCCCCAGTGCAGACAGACAAGTTGACAGGTGCCCACAGCACTCTCAGTACCAGGAGGAATACAGATTTCGGGCCCTGAGATCTCTACTCCCTCTTCCACCTCTGAATCCTCCAGTGCTTCATAAAGTCTTCCGACTCTCCCCCTTCTCTCGGGACTTTCCTCTCTGAGGAACGACCCTCGCATCTCTGGACGGAACGCTGACGTCAGAGGAAGGACCCCCTCCCCTCTACGGAAAGATTACAACCTCTAAGAAAGGACAGCCTCGCCTCTAAAGAGGACTCTAACGCCTAAGGAGAGAACACCACCCTCTCCGAGGGAACACTAAACCTAGGAGCCCTACTCTCGAGGACATGGCCTTGGCAGCCGGGCCCGGCTGAAAAACATTGCAGGCCCGGGCCCTCCCGACGACCGGACGGAGGAACAAAGCGAGAGCGGAAGACCCCAGGACGCCTACCTTGGCGGACGGCACCACCGTGATTTTCTTGAAGTTGTAGTGCGCCATGTCGGCGGTCCGCCACGAGGGAAACGACCGGCACTAGGGACTTCCGCGGACGGCTGGGCGGGACTTCCGCCGACTGCAGGCACTTCCGGGCGCCCCGGATGTCTCCTCCGCAGAGGTGCCGCGTCACACAGCGCCCCAGCCTGGCCGGGGGTCCAAGGCGGTGGAGTCGCGGGGCTGAGGATGGGCTGGAGCTACGCCGCGGACTAGGAGGGCAGCGTAAAGGGAGCGGCTCGGGGCTTTAGTTCCTGCAGTGCAGCGAAGGAGTCCCGACAGGCCGTCCGGGGTGGCTGGGCTGCCCTGGCCAGGTTCGGCTCGGGGCGGGGTTGGGGGAGCTCGAGTCTTAGGGATCTTCGGGGGCTCTGGGTGCGGGGATTCTCGAGGGGTGTTGGGGACTCTGTTTCCTGGGATCTCGGGGGTCTCGGAGATGCGGTGGGGTCTCTGGGGATCTCGGGAGTCTCGGGGACTCAAGGGTTCTCTGGGGACTCGAGGAATCTCGGGGGATTCGGGTCTCCTGGGACTTCGGGTCCAGGGATTGGGGGGGGGGGGTGTCTCGGCGGTCCTGGGTGCTCTTGGGATGTCGGGGGTCCTGGGGACTCGGTTCCGGAGATCTGCGGGGACTTAGGGTTTCTGAGTCTCAGCAGTCTGGGGGAATCCGAGGCTATCAGGGATCTTGGGGACTCGGGGGAGTGTCCGGGGACTCAGGAGTCCAGGATTCTGGGGATCTCAGGAGTCCAGGGACCTGGGCGCGGGCCCTGGGCTCCCAGAGAAGGTGGGTGCGCTGTGAGAGCGGTGAGGCCCTTAACTAAGTCCCGTGTCTCCCTAGCCCCCACGCCGCGCGCCAACCCCACCCCAGGGTCCTAACCTGACCCAAACGAGGAGGAAAGTGCAGCACAAGAAAGTAAGGTTATATGCTAACCTCACTCATGAACACAGTCACAAAAATTTTAAATAAAATATTATATAAGCAATTATGCAAGAAAAGTGATCAAATTCAACATCCGTGCATGACAAAACAATTTTTTTAAAAAAAAAACCTCTTGGCAAAATAGTAAGAATTTCCTTCTTCAGGGAATCTACCTAAGGAAACAAAGAGAAGCAAAACTCAGCAAACACCTTACTCAGCGGGGAAACAGGAAACATTCCATTTGAAATTGGGAACAAGATTATCCATCCATGAATTGATTATTGTTCCAACTTGCTATGTAGGGGTCAATTATACTGTTTTCTATACTATATGTTGGAAATATTTAACAAAAATAAAATTTAAAAGTGTTTCCTACATGTCCCAGCTCTTGAATCCTGGTTCATAGAATGAATCCATTACTCAAACCAAAAGAAGAGAGGAAGAAAACATATGTAAGGAAATTAAAAATTTATATAGCAGACCCAGTGTTTATCTTAGCAAGTGAATGAATGGAATGAATCTAAACAGCAATAGCCAAGTTAGTTCCTTGAAAACTAACAACAAAAACATTAGCTATGCATATGAAGTGACATGTCTTCTTTAAGTATGGTGAGAATTTATCAGGGTAATTTTCCAGGGGTTGATAAAGATTATAATGAAATGCCACCAATTGGTTTATATGCCTGGGCAGCTATTATATGAGTATTCAAGGCTTTATTACATGTAAGGTGTTGAATGGAACATAATGTAGCATTAAAGATACCTATGTGCTAAATAATTTTTCATTTTAGCTGGGGAGACAAAATTCAACACAGAACAGTCTAAGCCAACACAATTTACAATATATTCCTAAGTAGTCACTCCTACCTTCTGCCTTCAGAGATACAGGGACTACTGTCCCCTGAACAGCACAGCTCCACCTGCACCCACCTTTTTCCTATCTAATATCTTTCTCATCCTGATGGCTTTTCCCTCCCTGATGTCTCTCTGCCTCCTCCTTGGTTACTTACTACCTTCACACAATCTTCTTTCCTCTCCCTCCCATGTGAGCCAGGCAGTGACACTGGACTCTAGTACCCTGAGCCAAGTCCAAACACTACTGCACACAGATCTTTCTAGGCCTCTGGTCTAAGTCCATTATGGGTGGCATGTCTGATGGGATATTCTGAGAACCTGGCAAGTTTTTATTAACTGCTTATAGGAAACAAGTTTTGAAGTAAAAAACACCAGCTGACCTATTAACTTTTAAACCTGTTATAAAGTTAAACCTGTTAACTTTATAAACCTCTTATAAACCTGTTATAAACCTGAGAACTGCCAATACCTGGAATGTCAAATTAGAAATAGAGACCAGTGGTTCTCAAACTCAGTGTCATGACCATCATTGTGAGATTTGTTGCAAGCAGTTTGTAACCAATTATAAAGTTCTGAAGTTTGCAATGATTGCCTTTTTTAAAATGAAAAATGCAAACCGAAGACTCATTTTAACACTATTCATTGAGATTTCTTCTTGACTAGAATAGAAAAGGTTGTGCTCCAAGAATTACTGTCACCCACAGACTATTTAACTTGTCTGAAAAATGCAATTTCTGCATGCTCAACTTTGAAGCAAGAGTATTGCTTCTTTGAAGAAGAAGTAAAGCACAGCAAGAGTATTGACAAATGCTGTGTAGACAAACTTTCAAAGTTATAGGAGAGAAAATCCGGGCTGGGAAGGTGGGGCAGCTGTTGGAACTAGGAAGGGGTCTCTGACAGGTGAATTTCATCTGCCCCTTGATGAGTATTATTTCAAACAGGGAAGAGGACAAGTCAGGCGAGGGGAGTGGCTTCTTCCAAAGGGAATACATGGCACCATGGTTCACTGAGGTCAGTTTGGTTTTCTTCTGTGTGTGGGTTAATGGATAAGGTGTTTGACCCATGCCAGGCAGGTGACTAAAGGATGGTTAAATGTATTCTCAAGCACTGTAAATGCATCCAAAGGGGGGAAATTGATGTGGCCTCAACAATATCCACACTGCCTGAGCACCAGCTATGTCCTGTCATAGAATGCTCACCAAGACCTGGGCTGGGTCCATGACCTGGGGAGGAGGCACAAACTGGGGGGCAGGCACTATTGTTATGTCTGTTCTACACATGAAGAAATGAAGCATAGAGACCTTGTCTGACAAGCCCACTCCAAGCCTGACAATGGAGACAGGGCTGGACCCAGACTATCTGATGCCAGGGCTTCTTTCTTCAGTCCCCACTGCACTGGGGACCTTCTGGGATGGGGTCCTGGCACAGGCCCTGTCTCCTTGTGTCACTCCCTGATGGAGGCAGAAAGGACCTCCCCAGCCCAGGGTGGCATGAATCACACATATGCATGGAAGGCATATAGGCAGCTAAGAAAGAGGCCTGGGGAGTGATGGCAAATGCCCTTATATTTCATTCTTTAATCAATGGCACTTGTTTGGCTCCTGCAGCTTCTGCCAACCGAAGGCTAATGATAGTGCATTGTACTCAATTGAGCAATTCTTTGTACCAATAGAGACTTAGAGCCTTCATAAATACTCTATTTGGAAGGCATTCACTGGTGACAAATGACCATCATGTTGACATGTGAAGTTGTTCAGAATCATACTTGGAGAAGCCAGAGAGAAAATTCTGTCAGCAAATATGGAAAAGCTGGTGGAGCTGATTTAAAAGATATGTTAAAGCCCTGGCTGGTGTAGCTCAGTGGATTGAACACAGGCCTGTGAAGCAAAGGGTAGCTGGTTTGATGCCCAGTCAGGGCACATGACTGGGTTGCAGGCCAGGTCCCCAGTAGGGGGCATGTGAGAGGCAACCACACATTGATGTTTCTCTCCTACTCTCTCCTTCCCTTCCCCTCTCTCTAAAAATAAATAAATAAAATATTTTTTAAAATAAATAAAAGATGTTAAAATATTTAGCCAACTTTCAGGAAACATCTTTGAGTTGACTAGTTGGAGCAACAAGCAGGTCATCTATTTGCATATGTCTATTTTCTTGCTTTTCTCAGATTCCAATATTATTATTTCTTGCCTAGCCCCTATTGTGAAAGGTATATTAACTGAACCCAGAAGGAAGTATGAGGCAGGGTAAAAGAATAGATAAGATTCTTGCCCTGGTTGGCATAGCTCAGTGGATTGAGTGAGGGTCTGTGAATCAAAAGGCTGCTGGTTCGATTTCCAGTCTAGGGCGAATACCTGGGTTGCAGGCCAGGTCCCCAGTAGGAGACACATGAGAAGCAACCACACACTGATGTTTCTCTCCCTCTCTTTCTCCCTCCCTTCTCTTATGTCTAAAAATAAATAAATAAAATCTTTTAAAAGAAAAGAATAGCCAAGATTCTTCACTTTTTTATATAAATAAAAAAAGGTCAGGATTTAAGAAGAGGTAACTAAGAGTGATACTGAATGTATCTCTGAAAGAGTCAGCTTCCCAAAATGTTTACCAACTACTATGGCTTGAATGCAATGCACATCCTTCCAAATCATACATCGAAAGCTAACTGCCAGTGTGATGCTATTAGAAGGTGGGGCCTTTGGAAGGTGATAAGTTCACGAGGGTGAACCCAGAGAGCTCTGCTCTTCCACCATGTGAGGTCACAGTCAGGGATATCATCTGTGCCAGCTGCTGTGAACCAATAAAACCACAAAAACACCTTTCATGTGTTTCCAGTGTAAATAACAGTATTTTATACAAATATTTTCATGATGCACAGAGGCTTGTATATACTGGGTAGGCCAATTGTGATTGAGACATATGCTCATTCCCATATTTTTTAAATATTTTATTTATTGAGATGGAAAAGGAGGAAGAAAGAGAGGGAGAGAAACATCAATGTGTGGTTGCCTCTCATGCACCGCCCCCTCCCCGGGGGGCCTGGCCTGCAACCCAGGAATATGCCTTGAGTGGGAATCAAACCATCAACCCTTTGGTTCACAGGCCAGCAATGAATCCACTGAGCCACACCAGCCAGGGTCTGTCTTTTAATTTTAAATGATGGCTTAACTGGGTAGAGTAATCTCAGTTTTATGTCATTGCTTTTCATCACTTTGAATACTTCTTGCCGGTCTCTCTTAGCCTGCAAAGTTTCTTTTGAAAAATCAGCTGACAATCTTATGGGAGTTTTCATGTTAACTAACTGCTTTTTTCTTGCTACTTTTAA